CTTCACCAACACCATTAGGCTAGGCTCGACGTTCGCGAAGTCCTCCTGCGCACCCAACACCGCCGGCATACACAACGCTGGGTCATACTCCTGTTGGCCTTTCCTGATCCCTTTCATGCTCATGTCCGCATTCCAGAGCCCCCTCTCAAACAGGATTTGCTTTAGCCCCTTGACCTTGCCAATGTGATCGGTGGCATCCGGGTCGTAGAAAGGACACTCGCCCTCCTGAAAGGTGAGGTGCTGCACCGTCCCTTTCTTGAGCTTGGGCGTGTCTGCCAGCAGGGTGGTAGCGTTCTGGGCAGCTAGCTGGGCACCCTTCCTCACCCCCCCGTACCCAGCGTTCATGCGAGTTGCGCTCGGTGCCCCGTCTTCGACACAGTCGTGGCAAGATGACCAGTCGAAAAAGCAGATGGGCTTGTGCATCGGATACTTCACCGCCAAGAGGTCCAGCACATCTGCCATGTGATCAACCATCTTCGCGCCCGTCCAGTAGCCGTCCTTTCCCTTGCCGTACTCGAACTTGAAGTAGGTCCAGAACTTGCCGTCGTCGTCCTTGTAGAGCATGTCGATCTTGCGATACCTCTCTGGCTTGGTGGGGTCGCCTGCCGCGTGTTTCGCTGCCGAAGTATCGCACCGCTTACGCCGCAAAGCGTGCGCCTCGTCGATGTCAGCCTGGTCACCCGCAACGAACCCTACGTTGTCCACGATGGTGCCAGAGATCATAATGCCTTGACCGTCTCCCTTCTTCTTGAGCGCGTGAAAGTTGGGTGGCACCCACGCGTAACGCTGGCCGTCGTTAGCCCTGTAGATGCACTCGTCCTGGTAGCAGAAGATCGCTCTCCTGCCATCAGAATACGTTTTCTTGCTGGTGACCCTCTCGCGGAGATGTTGAGGAAGCTCGGAGAGCGTCTCCTTGAAGGCATGCACGCAAACCCAAACACGCCCATCCTCTTGCCTGTCCTGCTCCTGCACTTGCACCTCCCAGGAACGCGCCTCGTCCGAAGTCGCGTCGATCCAGATCTCCATGTAGTCGCGGTGCTCGAAGTACGCTGGGAGATACTTCTCCACCCGGTACTCGAGCACGTCTTCACGGTCATGGCCGTCGAAGTAGAGGCCCGACCTGCGATCGCGGTACTCGCACCCCAGCTTGCGCAGCCAGGATCGCGCCGTGCGATCGGTGACCGAGTACGACACCACTCTCTCTCCTGATGCCGTTTCGTGCGTCGTTGTAGTGACAGGCGCGTGGCTGAAGGGGTCGTAGTCGGCCGTCTTGGTTTCTGCTACCTCTGGCAAGATGACCGTGTTGAGGTACTCGCGGAAGCTGTCAGCTGTCATGTTGGGCTCCCCTTTCTTGGTAGAGTTGACGCGGACCCATTGGCGAACCACCACGAGAAGACCTTCGTCCAAGCTCAGGATCCACCGCCGTTCGTGTTTCCCCTTCTGGTCCACCTTCAAATACATAACGTTCCACACGAAAAAGAACACCGCATTGTCGAGAAAAAAGGGAAAGGGTGGCTTAAAAGCATGCACGGGTGCGGGATGGAGAGAGAGCAACAGCGCATGCGTTACAGGAGGGAGTATCTTTCACAGCAACGGCCGGCGAGTTTGTTGAGCTACACAGCAGTACTTTTATTTTCATCGCCACATAGTCTAAAGTCTACGGCACGCGCATCTTTTATTGCGGGTTAAAACGGATGGAACATATCTCCTCTCACCTGGATATGGCCCTTGGTGCGGTAGGAAAGCTCCCACTCACGGAGGGTGCTGTCCGCCACTTCAAAAAACTCCGCGGTGTCCTCGAAAGCTTGCCTCTTGGGCGCCCCCTTGAGCAGCTTGTGGTACACTGCTTTCAGAGCCAAGGCCTTGAACTGCAGGCTGCCGGCTTGCGCGTGCGAGACGAGGACAGACTCCTGCATGTACGTAAGGTAGGAAAGGGAGCAAAAACATGGTTAGATGATCGGGACAAGCAGCGGGGAAGAAAGAGGAGGGTGGGGGCAGAGTGGTTCTTGCGGCCCAACAGTAACGCGAAACTTCACCTACATGTACATGGGCTGCATCGCATCAAATATATACGGCAGCAGCAGCAACAGCAGCAGCATTGCGACAACCACATAGCACCACAACCAACAGCAGTCTTGCAGGAGGAAAACTACAATCATCGTATGCAAACATTACACTGTATCGTGTACATTGTGGCACCAACATCTCTTACATTGAGTCCAGCAGACGTGGCTGCCACAGCGGATTGGCATTCCTTGATGACGGCGCGGAAATAGTCCTGTCCCCGCTCCCAGCCCGATCTACATGCAGCGGATGCTGCGGCGGCCTTTTCCAGCTGCGATCGATGCTTCGCCAGCTTGCGAAGAGCCTCCTTCCTGCCCACACCCCTGTTGCTCTGGCGCTTGAGGAACGCTGGTCCCCAGACCTCTTGGTGCTGGTGCACCTCCTTCACTGCGTCCAACATATCTCCAGGAAGATCGCGCGAGGCTATCAGCGCACAATGGGGCTGTCCTCGCTCGATATAATCATTGAGCTGTTGCGCAGCCTCGCGAACCCTCTTCCAGCCGTAGCTTCCCTTTGGCCTGCCTGATCCAGGGCGTGCTCCGCCGACCTTTGCAGCCGGTGCGTCCTCCGTGGATGCCGCAGCATGCCGACAGTCCCGCGGCCGCTTTTCTCGGGGAGGCGCAGCTTCGGCTTCGCCTGCACTTGCATCAGTGTGGGGAACGTTGCCGCTAGAGAAGGATGGCCGCCAGGTAGCAGCAAACCGGTCCTCGGCCGCCCAGTCGCGACCCGTGTTTCTGCCTTTCGGACACTTGATGTATGGGCTGCACCAGCGCTGTTCGGATCCATGCACGTGCGCCGTCAGTTCCACACGATACTTCTTTGGACTCTTCTCCTGACGCACACTGACCAGCTCACCACCACGTTGAGCCAAGGTTGCTAGTATGGTCGCCAAAGGCTTGTCGCGCAGCTTAAAAGCCATGGGCGTGGACCGCGAATTCTTCATGTGTGGCAGCCGTTGGGGCTGATGTGGGCGAAAAATTTGAAAATGTTGGTTCTGATTTTTTTTAAGTTCTTCTTCACCACGCTCGGGGATGATTCCGCCGCAGTAAAATACTTCTGAAAGAGAGCTTTTCAAATCTGCAATTTTTTTCGCGGGGTTCGCCTTGTTATCGAGATATGGCGATTCTTGTGGGATGAAGTGCCTTCTGCATTGATGGTAATGGAGCCATATCTTTCTCAAAAACGAAAACCCCGCGCTGTGGATAGTCTTATTCGATCGCTGCTGGCGAGAGCTTTCTCACGAATATTTTGGTTCCGCTCAATTCGTTGAAGAAGGTTATTTTTTTTTTCAAAGCACCCGTATTCGGGCTCACACTTTCCGGCACTGTATGCTCGTGACGCTGCTGATGTTTTTTGCGCCGCTTCTTGGAAGAGCCCGCCCCCTACTTCCCAAGAAATGGCAAGAGGCGTCTGGACCCGAAATTTCAATTTTTTTGGCTCCCGCTCTCAATCGTATACTCCGCTCTCAATCAGGCGAAAACCCTGTTTACGGTGGAGCGGTGGAGCCATGATGAACATGTACAGCACCGCCGCCACGGCGGTACGCATTTGTGCTGTCTATTTCCTTGTATTGTACTTCACACCCTGGATAGTAGGATGGGTATCAGCAGGATATCAATAGCGTTTTCGCTTTAAGTTGGCGTCTTGTTTGAGAGTAGATGTGACAGATTTGCGTAGAATAGGGTAAGATGTTATCATGAACGGAGATTTTTTTTTTTCAAAGCACCCGTATTCGGGCTCACACTTTCCGGCACTGTATCAACACCAGCGCACTACTACCGTCGTATACATGTACGATGCGTAGGTCGTAGAACACCATCGCTTTCAGCATTTTGGTGGTACAGTTTGGGGAAATTCAAACGATGGTATGCAAGTATGTATTGAAGCACAATTGCAGCAGCAGTGGTTGCGACCTTCAAATCACCTAGTGTCGTAAGTTTCAAACAACACCTCTTGTGGTCACCTTTCTGCTGCGAATGCACACCTTTTGACATATGTTTAGCCTTCATTGGCCCCGGGGATGGTGCGTTAGTGGCCCCGGAATTTTAAAAATACTTGTCCGCGTTAAAGATACTTTTTGGGGGAAAAACGTGGTGTGTCTTTAAAGCGGGGTCGACTGTAGGTGGTCCGTATAAACGAGACGGAAAAAAAAAAAACGCGATCTTGAACGTCTTGGACGAATATGCTGTGCTCAAGCCGAATGCACATCACAAAATACGAGGGCCACACAACAGTCCCATTCCGCCGGACTCGGCATGGTCCTTTAGCCGTTGTTACTCAGTGGCTACTGTCCAAAAAAATCGCTGAAGGACATCTCCGAAAGGATCGCTGCTCATCTCAGCAGGGCAGCCAGGATCCGGTTCTCCCTGGTGTAGCGCCTGCTTGAGCCTAACTAAGGACTACAGGCAGCACCATTCACGACACGGTTTCATTTTCGATGATAGCTTTAACAGAAAGCGCCGATGTGTCTAAAACTGTGACAACAGACCCTTTTTCGAATTTTCTACGCTCGACTTCCGTAGGTACTGATTGACAGGGGAATCATGCCACTCATATTGCCGGCCACACGAACGATATATTAATAGTTGGACAAACAAGAACAACAGTAAGCATGTGTTCGGGTTGGGGCAAACTCAGAGGGCTGAGTAGAACCCCTCTTGCGTGACCCCGGCTCGTGCATTGCTTCCGTTGTGTACCCAAGGTGGAAGCTTTTTTTTTTTGTCCATCGCCTAAGTCAGTGCTTACAGTATTAGACTATTTTTGTCGGGTAGCTCCAATCCGTGATCACACCACAGAAGGGTTCCTCTCCCTGAGGCCCCCTACCTGCTCCCACCGTGTTTGCCTTCGATTTTGTAGAGACTGGCGCCCAGAATAGATACATGGGATGACAATTCGTTGTGTTTGTGAAACTACAGTTACGAAAGCTACTCAACCACAATCAACAATCCACCGATGTGGTCGGCTGCGGCCCACGTCACACGTATGGCTCCCTGGTGGCTGGCGAGCTGAGGTCGATCGACCAGATGTACGTTGCTCAACGACTGGATGCAAACAGACCGGCATGTCTTCCAAGGCAGTACAACACCTCACCCGCGAACAATCTATTTTACTGTAACAATAGCATGGAACGTAGCGAAGCAGGAGAACTACAGCACCATGAAGACTACACGACGTCTGAGAATGTATGAACTGACACAAAACGATGAAGAATCCCGTCTTGCAAGCGGGGCATATTCCAGCAAAAAGAGGACGCCGCACGAACCGACGCGGAATTCCGCACAAATCCACTCCCAGAAGGAGATACCATTGATCTCAGAGGGGGGCTATCCACTGTTGGCAAAAAAAAACATACCCGGGATAGAATAGACAAAGCAAAGATATACTGACGTCTTGCTTTCGAGTACTACTGCGAACAGACGCCGAACCACACTCACCTACGGGTAGACACGGTCAATTTCCCGTTCACGGACGAAGTCGTCTCGAGCTCCACCTTCATTCTGAAGCATTCGTGGCGAGTCCCAAGCAAGCACCCACTTTTTCCCCAACCCTTGAATGTCCTCCACGGACTTTGGAAGACTCTTAACACACCCGAAATGTTTTACACTCTACGAAAACCCGCCGTACCAAAGTACAGGACAAAAACAAGGGCTTCCTTACACGCCCTGCCACGAACCCCTACTATTTAGCTGGGGGCCATCACCAACAACACGACACATTTCACGGCAACGTATACACGAACTCCGTCGGAGTCGACAACAACCGCCAACTTATCCAGCCCGTTGTGCCTAGCGACGGGCAAGTTATCCCGCCGCCGCCGCCCCCGCCGCCGCCGCAGCGCGTTTCTCCGCCCTCCGCCTCGTCGCACAGGAACCGCACGCGTTTGACCGCCTCCCTGCGGAACAGTAATGATTCCGCGTAGCCCCGCCCTCCTGCCGCAAGTCCACGGAAAACTCTGCCGGAACGCCCGGCCTGCTCACTCTCCACAAGAACCCGGCCCACTCTTGGAGGTGCCGTCGCCCTCGAGCCCAGGCCGAGCACCGCCCGCCCCTCCGGACAGCACGAGGAGGGTCACCGCCGTCTGCACCGCCGCATCCTTGTCGTGCTCTTTGGCTGTGGTCGCCCCCGAATAACTGATCCGGTGGTGGTTGTGGAGGCCCCCGCTTGTGCGGTTTTTCCCGTGGCGCCTCCGGGGTGAGGTACACCCACTCCCTGACGGCGTAGAGGATGTCCGATACCTCGTCGGCCCATTCCTGCATCAGAAGGCCGATAAGAGTTGGGAAGTGAAGGGGGGGGACACTTCGCCTCTTAGGCCCACCTTCGATGGAAGCATAGCCCGTGCTGCTTGCCAGAATTCTAGATGGAATGAAGAAAAAGAACACACACGCAGCGCGGACGGCCGCCGCAGCGCACCGCAGCAGACACCGCGCTGCTGCGTGAGTGATTGCGACGCGTCGCCTACTCGTGTAGAGTCCCGCGTCGCGCCTTTAGCCTCACCTCGTCTAAGCAGAGCCTTGCCGCGAGATCGACGTAGTGGCTCAGCGTCGCCGCCGCGCAGCAGCTAGCCGGCAGCCCGAGATCGCTCGCCAGCGCCTGCACGTACCTGAGGGGCGTTGCAAAGGTGCCGGGGTAATGTCTGAGGGTGCAATTATCATAGGTGAATGGATGCGTTTGGTCCCCTACCATGCATTGCCGGATCCGTCTTGCCCCCCCGAAGTACTGTTACATTGACCACCTTACGCCCGGGTACGTTTTATCAATGTTATACGCTTTAGCATTACTGTAAGTCCGACCTCTCACCCCCATCGTCACAAGGTTTGCTACCCCACTTAAGGCATCGCCACTGCCGCCCACCTTTGGATAGGAGCAAAGAAGAACGCGTAGCTTTATAGTTTGAGTAGAACCACCGGGAAAAGATAACATACTATTCGACACTCAAGAGTAACAAAAAAAGCCTCGACACACCTGCAAACCCCACCGTCCACATTATTGGGCAGAGCACCCAAAAATAGGGCATTTTTATTGTAAGACACGGAAGAACTTCCAACAATTACCTATGTTTAAGAGGAGTAGGGCCGGGTAGATGACCAACTTCCACCAATCACCCGTCGAGTTTGTAAGACATTTTGTAAGACAGAGACAGTTGATTGGGCGATGGGCACGACGCTCTCGGCAGAATCACCGAAATCCTCTTGCACAGCAGCACCACACACACCACGCAGAGAACATACGATACAACCAGCACAGCAGTATACGGACTGCTGTAGGACAAGGGCAGCCAAAGGCACACATCATGGGAGGCGTTGGGTATGACTCTTGCAGCCCGTTGCCTGCTGTCGGCAGCACAAGCGAGTGACGACGCAAGTCGATCCGCTGTCGGTCTACATCACCCTCAACCTACCGATCTTTGGAGCTTCCCGCGCAGACACATCCCCACAATAGAGAAAACGAGGCCTACACACTGCTGTAGGCCAAGGCCGGCCAAAGGCACACATCATGGCTGGCGTCGGAAGCTATTTGTAGACCCCGCAAGGGAACATGCGAGAGCGCACAAGTCAGATCTCTGTCTGCGGTCTCTTCGTCTGCCGGCCGATCTTTGCTTCCACAACAGACGCACCCCGGAAACAGAGACAAGCGAGACGGACACAGCGCTGTAAGCCAAGGGCGGCCAAATACACACGTCGTGGGAGGGGTCCGGGCCAATTTTTAAAGCCCGTTGCCCTTTGCTAGTAGCGAAAGTGAAGAAAGCAACTGCGCACCCATGCACAGCAGTAGAGGCGGCAGCAACAGCAAGCAGCAGCAGCAGCAGCACTGCTGCCGCTGAGCTGGTGATGACGAGAGCTAAACAGCGCTCCCATTCATCCCCTGACTGACTCGTTGTATCGGGTGAGGTGTGAGCGTGCGCACTGGTGACCTACGTGGTGGTGTAGGCTCCATCCATATCTATCTACGCTTGCTTTGATGTCTCTCTCCGACCCTTCTTTTCGCGCTTCGCGCGAAATATACATATATATTTTTTTCGATGGACCCCTATGTATGGTGGAGCCCATTATTGAGAGGCACACTTCACCAGCGGAACGAGCCGAATGACTCGCTCTCGTATTCTACGATATAAACCAAATTCACTGGTGTCCGTTCAACACGAAAAAAATAGCTGGTAGTTCTACGGCACGCCGGCCTTGTTCTCAAACCCCTCTACCCACCATGCCAGGCACCATCTACACCCCACACCTACACCGCGACGCGCTTTCCTCATACCCGTAGCACCAACCAACAACCAATTTGGCCATACGTGAAGCGTCTCCGAAACATTCTTGTTGTGGCGCATCGGTGTTCCTTCTACACCCACCTAGCCCCCGCTCTCTGCCGAGAGGGCAGGGTTACCACCGGAGTTCCAAGGGCGAAGGCGTCCACGGCGGCGTATAGGTTGCCAACGGGAAACGGGTCCAGAACAACGTCCGCCACCCCGAGCATGGCGAAGTAGTCCCACGAATCCACCGGAGGGAGGAGGTGCACCCGCCTTTGTCCGACAGTGATGCGATACCACGGCGCCCCAGGAACAGACAGGCGGAGTGGAGGCGTTTTGATGCGACGTTTGAGGAATACATGATTGATCAGCACGCGTTCGTTCGAAAAGTCAAGCTTCGAGAGGAGTGGCTAGAAGCGAAGATATGGCACCCCCTTGAACCGATATTCAATGCTCGATTGCTCCGCAACCAAGCTTTTGCCAACACAAAAAATGGCGGTTTTGGAAACGTCTCGTCGAGGGCCTTCAGGAAATACATCGAGCTGTTTCCGCACCCACTTGGTTGTGGAGCAATCGAATCAACCTTTAAAAGTCGGTCTAGGGGGGGTGGTATCTTTCCGCCTCTTACGGAATACCACGGTACGGTATACGGTACGGTTGTGGAGAAATCGAATCAACTTTGGAAATCGGTCTAGCGGGTTACTGAACCTCTGCATTGCGCTTTTGGAGTAGGATGCTCCGTTGCACAAACAGTTCATGTAACCATGGTGTGTACGCCACGACTTCTGGCGCCAGAGAGGTGCACATGCAACGAACGTCGACCTGCGTGTAAACACGACACGCACAACATACTGCCCAGAAAAATACCCGATATGTTGTGCACCTGCGTCAAATAATACTTTTAGAATAGAAGGTTTAACCTGACCACAGAAGCGCTACCGGGGCAAACAGAAAGGGGGCTTGTTGGATGGCATTTTCTTTCCTCTGCAAGCAGTTTCTACACGCTGCCAAACACACCACACCAACAACAGACCAAGAGAAACCAAACTAGAAGGAGAAACCAATAAGGTTCGACAGAATCGCCTCCTGCGAGACACACTCATCACAAGGCTGATAATGCCCCGTGCAAAACCACCGGCAAACGCAAAGACAACCTCAACCTCACAACAGGGGGAAGGGGCGGGTCTGCTATATACCGTATAGATTTATAAACGCCCTGGGCAACACAGACACCAGTCGGTGACGACCACCCTCACCAGATGTTCTCGCCCAGGCGAGCAGCAAGACGAGACCGCAGCTTCTCCGTCCACACGGGGGGCGAGGCGTACTGCAGGTGGTCGTGCTGGTAGAACTCCCCCTCCGTCCTCAAGGCCTCCGCGGGGGTTTCCTCAACCACCACAACCACGTGGATCGAAGGGTGTCTGCGAGTTTGGGGGGGGGGCGTATCCATGTTTTGCAAAGCACAGTGAAGACGGTCGAGAGTCAGCAGGCGCTCGCTGAAGACGGCCCAGAGAAGTTCATGGTGGCACAAGTTGCACCTCACTGTCACTACCATTGGCCACACGTCCTTTAGAGGAAGGAGCACTGTTACCACGGGACCGATCACCGATGGCCAATCGTTCACCGACTTGGGGAGGGGGGGTCAAGATCATGCTCGGCGGCCGTGAATAGCCCGAACAGAGGACATCGAGTACACCCCAACTTTCTATGCCCGCGGGAACCGAAGGTGGATTAGATAAGATATCACGCACTCCTGGACCGATTTTCAAAGCTCGACTACTCCACAGCAAAAACGAACGGCGGTGCCGAAAACGGCGGCGTTGGAACCGTCTTGTCAAGAGCTTTCCGAAACCGTGTCATGTGATGGATGCATCCTCTTCGTCGTGGAGTATTCGAGCTTTGAAAATCGGTCCAGGGGGTGTGTTATCTTGTGTCATCTACGGTGTGGAGGGGCGCCTGGAGATGCTGGGCGCTTTCGTGTTTCTTATTTGATGGCCTGTAGCAACCACCCACAACCGCCTGCCTTGGGCGTACGGCTGCACCGAGAGCGTGTGCTTGAACAGTTCATGTTTTCCCTCCCTCGTCCGAACTCTGCACATGAACATAATATCCTGACTGTTCCTGGCGAAGGAACGGCGTCCGGCATTAACCCGCACGCTGCCGCCAAACGTACGCAAAGGCACCGGAGCTCACGCACGCAAACAGATCTGTGGCAAAGAGCGCCGCCTAACATTGTACTCGAGAGCTACCCATCTCTTTCCAACGCTGGACATCAACAACAGTACCACTCGAAAACTACCCATCTGTGTGGACGCTGGGCATCAAGCGTCGGGTCGGGGAAAATGTCGTTTTCATCACCTTTCAAGAAGCATGCCCACGGCTACATCAAACTCCGGGTGGAAGTGATATACAGGGATGGGCAGCACCGCCAAGGACGACATCTCCGGCAACAGGTGCCTGGGGAAAGGGGGGCAAGGGTAACGGAGAGCATTGGAAAAAGAAGACAGGGAGTTGAAATGCAACACGTGCCGCGAGAGCAAAGTACGATTCTGTACCAACCATGCCCAGGGGTAAATTTTCTCAAGTCATCAGCTCATCTGCCCAAGGCGACTGCGTGTTCTTTCGCTAGCCGGCGACGGGCGGCAAAGAACATATCCGTACCAAAAACGCATATTTCCCTGTGGTCCTGCAACGCAACAGGTTCGCATACTGATCGCGGCGTGTTTCTCACGGCGGGGCTGTGTTCAAACAATTAATTTTGGGCAGTATGGCTCAACATTGTGCGGGCGGCGGTCCAAGTCCTCACTAACGTATCCTTTTACTTTGTAGGGCCAACATACTACAAGCACTCTATCTCACCTTCGTCTTATCTCCGAAGCGTCTGCAAGCCTCGCCAGCCGTCCACTACCGAGCCGCCCCCCCCACCCGGGAGGCTGCACAAACGCGCCCAAGCTCTCCAAGAAAACCACTTGCTCTTCCACCGTCTCGGCGTAGTCGAAACCTGCCCACGGGCGTGGCCAATCACCGCTGCTCCTATCGCAGCCCCTGTCATCGCCGTCGTAGTACCCTTGAAAATAATCGTCATCCGCGAAGCCTCCATCATCGCCCAGCGGCTTGTCACCGTTCCTGAAGAAATAGACGCCTCCCCCGTCTCCCTCGACGTCGTCGTCATCGTAGAGAACACCCTCATAGACCCCGTCGAAGGCATCGCCGAAGTCATCCACGTACAGCTCGCCATCGAAACCTTCGCCGAAGTCGTCCACGAACACCTCGCCGTCGAAGACGCGGCCATACTCGTCCACGAACAGGCCGTCCTCGTACATCCCTTGGTCGTCATCATCTTCGTCGAAATCACCGGCGTACGCGGCTCCGCCACCGAAAGTGTTGTCGCCGTCATCGCCGCTGCCGTCGCCGTTTGAGTGCCCGACGTCGACTTCCTCTCCGCCGATGATCGAGCGCCCGGGGCCTATCACGTGCCTCCTCAGGATGTCCTCCTGTCGCAACCTGGCGGGGCTCTTCTTCGCACCGTCCTGGGCATCGTCTCGTGCGGCTCTGCTCCGCGCGCGCTGGTGGATCCGGGCGCTCATCTCGACGTCGCCGCCGTTCGGATAATGTTGTCCGTGCTGATTCTCTGTAGCAACGCTGTCGTCGCCTCGTTGTCGGTCTTCTTCTGGCCACCACCCCCCCTCGCCCTCATTCGCGTCTCCCCCCTGCTCCTGCTCGTCCAGGAGCGCCTGTTCGTCCAGGAGCGCGCTCACGATTCGCTCTAGCTTCTCCCGCCCCTTGCCCCTCGCTTTCAGCGTCGCCACCAGGCTCTCGTAGTCCACGAGGTCGCCGTCATCGGTAAATATGCCATACAGGTTGATGTCGTCGTCATCGTCGTCATCGTCGTCATAGTCGTCATAGTCGTCCTCTCCCCCTTCCATTTCCGCAGCCGCGGCCATGCCCACCTTCAGCCGCATCCTGCTACGGCCCGCACTTCCCGCCCTACCGTCCCCCGCTTCTACGCCCGGTCCCGGCCCCGCCGCCGCCGCTGCCGCCGCTGCTGCCCCAGACGTTTCTCCGACTTTCTTCTCAGGGTCCACCGCCCCCGTCGCCGGCCCCGACCCCCCCGCCCTCGGCGGTAATCCGTTTCGGCCCCGGAACGCGTTCCGTCGTTCCTCGCCGTTACCGTCATCATCACACGGATCGAGCGGGGGGGGCCCGAAATCTCTTGTCGGGGGTTCCGGAAACCCGAAGCTCCTCGGCGGGTCTCTCCGACCTTGCCAGGCGTCGTTACGGCGCCTACCGCTACCACCCCCTCCGTCATTGGCGGTAGCGTCACTCCCGTGGCGCACCCCCCGGTGCTTCATGCCACCGTCGTTTCCACTGCCATCAGGCCCGGCCGGACGTTCCCAGAAAAGGAAATCGTCCTCCTCTTCGTCGTCCAGTACTTCCCCCTCGCATGTCGAGTCTCTCGCCGTCTGGAGTTCGTCGTCTCCCAGCCAGGCGTCGGCGACAAGGGGTTCGGGGACAACGTAGTAGTCGATCGAGCCGATGCCGAGCGTCGGAGCGTGGCCCCAAAGAGCGATCTGAGCGGACGGTAGTGGTATCCATACGACGAGCAGCGACGGAGGTGGCGTAGAGGGCGTCGATGAGAGGGCGGAACAATTGTAGCGGTTTCGCCCCTCTCTTTGCTACGCATTTTTTGGCGGTCGCCTTGCAGTACGTCTTGAGCTTGCTCGGCATGAAATTGGAGAGTTGCGTGCAGGATAGCATATGTCGCGACAACAAGGAATGGGTACTGTAGAGGACGTGCGATGGGCTGGGGTCGCGCCTTGAAAGGCGGAAACTGGGGCGAAATACCAGCAGTTACGCAGAGTTAAGGCCGTCGAGTCCAAAGCCGAGGCCCAGTTCAAGCCTACAAACACAAAACAGGTGCTACACGCGCCTCCGCACGCATCATCGATCGCCGTCGTACAAACGAATAATAACCTCTTGCCTGGACCGGTGCCACCCTCCCGAAGGCCAAGAAGTAAGTCTTTGCGTCGAAAGGCGCGTCGGCGAAGATCACCACATCCGGCCGCCTATGTGCCAGCTTCTGGAGGGAGGCAGTGCGGTTGAACACGAGGTTGGCGGAACGGCTCTCGGTGCTCCCGAGCACGTGTTCCTCGGTCCAGTCGTCGGAAGGCGTCGGCCATGACCCCAGAATCACCTTTCGTACAGCAGATAGGTGCGAGGTTTGCAAGGTGTACAGCAGTAGTGGTTTCATCCAGAATTATACCTCCAGAAAAAACACGCAAAAAACAAAAAAAGAACATCCTGATGGAAAAGAAGAAAAAAGGAAGAATAACTCTCGCGTTTACACTAATATATACAGCTCAACGAAAAAAGCCACCCAAAAAACGCCGAACGGTGGATACACATCACGTCGTGTCTCCCTTGTCGTCGCCAGCCCTGCATCTCTCGGAGACGCAGAGAGCTGCACTCCCTTACGCCTCATCACCTCAAAATGCTGCCGGGGAAGCAAACGCATGAGCGCGGCTAGCGCCTTAGTCGTGGCGTGGTTCCCGAACCGCGACGACACGAAAGCGACCCTGACCCTCCCGTCCGCCTCTCCGCGGAGCCCCCCGTCCGCCTCCGGCGCCAGGCTGGAGGCCCCGCCATATCGATCCAACCAGGGGGCCACGAAGGCCCCGAGGTCGGGACAGAGCCTCCAAAACAGCCGTCCGATCGACCCGTACAGGGACAACCTATCAGCGTCGTCGCCTCCGTTCTCGTCTAACCCCTTCCCTGCCGATCGGCCCACCAACCCCGGCATTCTCCAGGCGTCTCCGTCGACTTCGCCACTAACCCCCCGCGGCGGCACACCCTCGTCCTTGTCGCCGTCCCCCGTTCCGCCCCCACCCTCAGGGGAGCGGCGAGAACCGGCGTCGTCGGCTTCGAGGCCGCCGCGATTTCGACGCGGGTACCGGTGGTCCGCGAACGCCAGCAGAGGGAGGCTATCGAACGCGACGTCGGGGTAGTTTAACGCCCCGAACGAGCAGCTCGACAAGGGCGTCTCGAAGTCACCACCGCTACTGGTGGTGGTCGTGGTGTGGTGGCCATGACGCCGAGCGGGTTGGGGCGGGTCCTCGACAAGGGGCTCCTGGCGCCTTAACCAACCCTCCAGGGTTGCCATGGCTAGCGCTAGGTCCTGCTCGCTGCTTGCCACGGTCGGGATTGACAGGGCTGATCGGATTCGGTAAATCTGCTTGCACAGGCATGTACGTGTTTCGAAGATGAACGTAGATCAGCGAGGGCGCGGAGGGGGAGTCGTTGGTTGACCATGACCAAGTGCTTGTTGGAAAGAAGGGGGCGTGGTATTCAACGTATAATTTGCGAAACCACCGTGGATACCGGACCGAGATAGTCGCGGAGGGGCGATAAAATGGCATCTGTGGTCGGTAAATCCTCGCGACTGGCGACTGTTGCAGACGATACATCCACCTCAACCGCCGACCTCACGCGAAGGATAAGTTGGTAGCACTCAAGGGCTTGCAGAAAACGCTCCGGCGTCGTGCCACCCCCCGCCCCCCCGCCGCCCACTGGAGGTATCCTTACGTAGTGTACCTGTCTGTTCCACGGTGCCGCCGCGCTCGTGAGGTAGTGCCAAGATTCCTTCTGGAACCCGCGCTTGGAGAGCTCTCGACCAAGCATGAACGAAATCTGAGAGAGAAGGACGGAAGGACCACAACGTGGGTGTCATCATAACCTGGGTGTCATCATAACCTTGCACCGCTAACGGCACGCCAACACCGGAAAAACGTCCGAGCTGACACTTCACCCAGCGTGCCAACACCAGCAGAAGGTACTGAACCACGACAGGACGGACGCAACAACTTGAGAGAAACCATCATACAACAGACTATTTGTCACCGCTGCTGTTCCGCGCACCGCCACCAGTCGCTACAGTACCGCCGTACCGTACCTCGGAGTCTGCCGAAAAATGCCTCCTCAAGAAGTTGTCCACCCTTCGCAGCACGTGCACCGAACCGCCGAGCTTCTTCCACTTCCCTTGCAGAGCCCATCCCAGGAACATCGCCATCCAGTTCCGCTGGGTCACCAGCACCTCCTTGGTTCATTTCGACGGACAGAGGACCATGGGTGTCAAGGCCATGGGCCGGAGTCAAATCACCAGATACGAAATGAAGAACCTCGACATTGGGGGTCAAGGCCATGGATCGGAATAAAATCAGATGCGAAATGAAGCACCGCATGGTCGGGGTCAACATTGAGGTGGTAACGCCAACATTCCGAGTGAACCACGCAGCATGGGGGGCTGACTGGCATGAGCCATGATCGGGCGTCAGACTAGAAACTTCTTTTCGCGACAAAGGCGGACAGAATCTAACATGCAGACCACCACCGAAGGCTTAAAAAAACAGGCGTCGACGACAAAACAACCTCTCCTCCCCCTTAAACTTCTCCACCCCCCCTTAACCTGACAAGAACGGCCACAAGTTAATCCTGTTTCGAGGTCGCTGCGCCTCTCTACAGACAGCCCATTTGGATAGTTGTGCCTATTTCGACACACCTTTCGATTCTTCGTCTCCAAGATTGAAGGATCCAACCCCTGGTTTCGGACGATCTGTTCGAACACGGTGGCGATCCTGCTCTTTTGTAGCTCGGCAGCCTCCCGCAGATAGTGGAAGCCTGCCAAGACGGGAAGGTGCATTGGGGGGGGGGGCTTGAACGCGAAGGTAGCTGGTTTGCGTCCTGCTTTCCACCACGACACCAGCATGATGCGGCTGAAAACGACGTCCAGCAAAGGGATCTGATCACAGCCGTTCAAGAGGAGGCCCCATTCAGTGTCTGTTCCTATTAAGACTGGCCCTGACTCCCTCTAGGCGGTGGCCACCGAGTCAGTTGCTGTGGGCAAGCCTACAAGTCGCTTGACAAAGTCTTGACTCCTCACGGTATAGTCTTCGCCGGTGTTTCGGCCCATGTAGTGCTCTCTCCCTTCTACACGCTACCTCCAGGTGTAGGCAAGGCAAGATGACCACACCAACAAGAAAAGTCCCCTCCCCAATCTGTTTCAACTCGGGCCGAGAACCCAAACCTACCTTCCGCCACGGACCCCTGAGCCACAAGAGCCGCGCCCAACGGCTGCAGAACCCGGAGGTCCCCCGCGTCCCAGCCAAGCGCGCTCTTGAGCCCGACAACGGCCTCCCCGACCCTACCCAGCTGCAGCCACACCAGAGCCCTCTCGGTCTCCCAGGCCGCTCTCTGCCTGTCCGTCATCGTGAGCCCTGCCGCTCCATGGAGCGCGTCGAGAGCGACGGAGGGCAGGCGCGCGGCCCTGAGAACCGAGGAGAATATCACCGTGAGCTCGAACCCAACGTTACCCCGCTCGCTGCCGTTTAGATCTGCTTTCCCGGCGGGGGCGGCCAGGCCGGAGGTACCCTCGATGCTGACGCCCAGCAGACCGCAGGTCCGAAGCGCCGAGCGAGTACTGCTGCTGCTGCTGCTACCGCTGCGGCTGCTGTCGCTGTCCGCGGAGGCGCCTGCGTCTCCCGGGTCCAGCAGCAGGCCCGGGCAGCAGGTTAGGATGGTGCCAACACCATCGAGGACGTCGTAGATGTCCCTGGCGCTCATGCCGGAGGCCTCGTCCGGGGGGCCCAGGCTGATGATCGCGTTGCTGAGGCTGTGGTCCCAGAAGTCGTCGGCCTCGGGCGAGTCGGGCTCCTGGGCGAAGGGGCAGCTCTCTCGGATGCTCTCGATGGTGAGGCCATTGAGGCCGTCCGGGTGGCCTGCCGACAGAGCTCGGTACGTGAGCGCCTTTGTTGCCGTTGTGAAGCCCGGAGCATCCATTGTTGATGAGTCGCCGGCTGCATAGCTTTCCCATTCTTCTCCTCCACCTTCCTCGCCAAGGGTCGACTCCACGACCCGATCTGTTACGAGGCCAGGTGCGCCAGTAATACCCGAAGCTCCCACGATACCAGAGCCGCAGTTTGAACTACGCGGATGCGGCGCAATTACCGTCCCGAGCATGATCAACACCAACAGACTTCTGCTGCTGAAGCCGCGGCTGTGACTCGTGCAGCGGCTGCTGTTGATTGTAAAGTAGCCAGTGCGACAACTGCGGCTGCTGGTGCTCATCTGGTGCTTGCAGCTAGTGATAATGGTGGGCAACCTGCCTCTGCTGCGAGTGCTCGTGCCATTGCACCGCTGTGTGGTTCGAACTGCACCGGTTCTTGTGGGCCGACCCCACAATGGAGGCATTGCTTTAGCAGCTGATGGCCTGCTATGGAGTCTCTTCTTCCCCACCACGCATTTCCACATGCAAATTGGTGTCAGGCTCTGCTGTGATATTGCTATGGAGACACGAAAGCATGTGTTGCGGCAGTCACAGCAGTCACTTGCACTGCTGTCACAGCAGCGCGTTCGCTACTCCCCCCCTTTCGGCCGTTTAGTCGCAAACACGGGCCTCCCGATCCGACTTGGACCTCGCTTGTTGGAGCAGTCATTCAGTGTTGCTCCGTGCAACCATCGCACATACTGCTCGCCGCCATGGCCCCGCTACAGCAACACGTGGCGCTTCTGCCTGTGCTTGCGGCGGCTCTTTTGGTCTCTGTCACGGCCGGGAGAAGCGGTGGTGGCCCCGTAGCTCCAGCCCTCCTACAACCCACAAGTCAAGTCAGGTGCGCGCCAACTCACACAGCAACGTACTTCGATGTACTTGCTTCGACCACATGCCGCCACTGGTTCCAATACAAGATCTCCCGAGCTGCTCGTGTTTTTCTTGGTCCGTCCCAACATGGAGGTGTACGTCGAGGTGTTGCGGGGATGTGGATTTTGACTTGAAGCCTACGAATCAGCAGTGACAATCTCTTTTATCGTTGTTAGGAACAGGTGCAAAATGGTAGACCGTTTGTTCCAAGAGTCTCTTGTTCACCCATGGCAGGGTCGGTACCGAAATTTTGCCTGTAGCAGCAAAGTTGGAGAACTCACGCTACACAACAGTAGTCGCCCGTTCGATCAAATCCAAAGCGGTCATGTATCCAGCAACGTGTATCCAAATAACATCGTCGGCGGTTTTCCGACAACCTCAATGACGTCACATCGATCCTCAAATTAGAGTACAGAAGTACCCTTCGCTTGAATGTATTTTCGTCGTCAAAAACCGTCGCTTCTTTTTCGTTGTTTGAGAAACAAAAAAATGAGTTACACCCATGTATGAGTGTACCGTACCGTTTTCCTCTGACGGAAGAGCTCCGGTTCGGCATTTCACAGAAAACTTCTTCTGCAGTATTCGCGGCAACCGCGAGACTCGTGACGTGAAGCTTTATTCTTTCCCTAAGAAGTACTGCTTGCAAGATGTGGTTCCCCCGCGCACCTTCGGTGGCTGTTTCCACCACCAAACGCTGGCTCGTGTTGGCGTTGGTCGTTGCCATGTGTCCGGTTGGCTACTGTCATGTTGATTATTGTCATGTGATATGTCCAACCCTCCTTCGTGTTAAGGTTAACATTGGCACAATCGTGTCGAGGTTAAGGGTTGGGTCCGGGTTTGGTTGACACGCGGCGCCGTTCTCGAGTCGAGTCTCCGAAACGTTACTACTTGCGCCGCAGTGCTTCTTCATCCCTGGGCTCTAACGGAGTGCGACGCCCCACAGTAAATGCTGATGCGCCAAAATCCTTCGTGTCTTCCTGGAACCAAAAAGCCTTTCATCCTTGGGATCCCCATTGCCCCTCCCAAAGCACCAGCACCAGCACCGGCAGCGTCGGCGGCCTCCTGGAGGAGAAAAATCAGCACCCCGCGGGGAAAGAGAAGGAGGAGCAGCCGCTGAGGCTATCACAAAAACGACGCTTTCAACGAAGGAGGTGGAGAATGGGGAGGGGGAATGCGCAGCAGCCAGGGATAATGGGCGGAAAATCCACGGAGAGAAGTAGCCCTTTCGCCAAGCTGGCGGGGGTTGGCGACGGGCTCAGAGCTCGCGCGCGGCGGCTGCTGGTAGCCGAGATGGAAGGGAGGCAGAAACATGACGCTGGGGCACCGAGGAGGAGGCAAGGGTTCGGTCGGAGGAGCAGGGAATCCTTGGCTTTCGGGAATTTCGGCGCGCGAAAGCAGTGGGTTAAGGAGGAAGAAGAGGAGGTTATCAGCGCGGAGATGTTGGCGGTGCGTTTTAAGCCGGTGTGCGTGTGGGCATTGTTGTCGCAAATGTGCACATCGTGGCGTAGCTTCGGGCGGGAAAAGCATGCCAAACAACTAACCTGGGTGGAGGTACGTACTCCGACACGTCCCCCCCCGTTCGTTTGTCAGCATCGCCACAACCGAACTTGGCGAAGTTTGGTTCCGTACTACTGAACTGTACATGGTGGCTCACGACCCCACGGTGAAGTTGATTTTGACGCCTTTGTTCTTGGGCGTATCAGGCTGAGAATTGGTGACATGGTGTAAAATAGAACAATTTATTTTGCGATCTATGTCACCTTATCCATACGCGTGGTGCCAACACTTCCGGGGATGTGCTTTCAGTCAGTGGTCACGACGCTACACAGTAAGCCACGGCACGAGCAGCGTTGGGTTTGCTCCGTGCTGGTTTGGTGGTCCGAGATAACGGTACAGGGCACCGAAAGCAGCAGCAACAACCGCAACCAACGATGCTCGCGTCCCTCCCCTGGCCTCCCAGCTCCAGGCAGCGAACGATGCGAGCGTGGACGCGGTGTTGGCCGTCATCGAGTCCGATGGATGGGAACATGTTACCGAAAAGTCCGGCGTCGTCGTCGTCCGGAAATTCGTCCCACCCCCTCCCAAGGCATGTAGGGATGCGAGGTCAATGCTCTAGCGACTACGGCATGCACGATTATGAGTACACCCCCCTCCCAAGGCATGGGTGTATACACAAGTATTATTTGTGTGCAATATATCCGGCAATGAGATGAAGAGGCCCATCGGGAGTTCTTTTCCACCGGTCCGGTGAAGATTGTTGTGAGTTATCTGTCGGTGGAGGTTACTCTTCGAAAAAACATGGCGATGAAACACGCAGCAGTATGTTTTCGTGGGAAGGCATGCTAAAATGTCGAAAACAAAAACGCATCACATGCTTGTCCATGGGCACCCACACACACACAGTACTCCCGCGGCCCCTTCTTTAAGGTTCGCTATTTCAATCTACTGGGGTATTGTACGTTGTGGACGAAATGCGTGAAACGTAGATAACTTTACGTCTGCGTGCTTGTCATGAGTACCCCCCCCTCCCCCCCCTCAATGCCCCATCATCTCGTGGTCAATGGCCTAACAACTAAGGCAAGCAAACCGTAAGTACGCCGCCCTCCCCCCTCCCCCCATCGCTGGTGCGTATATACCCGTCCCCCCGGGTCCCTGTACTGGGGGATAGGAAATGGGTTGAAACGGCGAGTGGTGATATCGATAGGATAGATAGGTTAGGGAAAACATCTTTGAATAAGCTTTGGAAAAGCAGGAAGAGACGATTGGCCATCAGTGACCGGTCCTGTGGGAACAATGCTCCGTCCCCTCGAGGACGTGTGGTCAATTGCCTAGCCGCTAGGGCATGCGAAACATGAGAGTACTTCCCCTCTCGGTTCCCTGCGCAGGCACCATCATCCTCCTCCTCCTCCAGCGGTGGGATCGTCGACGAAGAAGCAGCCGCCAAGTTTGCTTGCGTCAAGGCCATGGGGACGCTCGACGCTCGAGCCAGCGATCTGTACAAGCTCTTCCTCGACAACGAGCGCGTGCACGTGAGTAGGGGGTGCCGTGGTGTCGGAGCGCGAATGCATTCTGAGTTGTGGGGGGGGGGGAGACGTGAATCTTGTTCTACTATGCGTGTAGAGCGACAGCACGAAGCGTTACCCCTACATGTATTCGCGCGCGCATTGCCTTCGATGGCGTACATCGTTCTGCTGTCTGTTTTTTTGTGCTCGTGTTTCCTGACTGGCGGTACGCGTTGCTTCCTCACTTGTGCCAATCGCGCTCATCTTTCTGCTGCGCTGCCACATCTCTCTCTGTTTTGGTGGGCCTCTCTCTCCCTGGCTCCGTCTGGATTGTGGTACGACGCCGCCCGGCGGGGACAGGAGTACAACGATAACTGCAAGGAAGTGCGAGACCTCGAGAGGCTCTCGGACGACACCAAGGTCTCGTGGGCCTGCACCCCCAGGTACCGGCCGTTTAAGGCCAGGGACTTCGTGACCGCTGTCCACTACCGCACCCTGGAAGACGGGACGATGATGGTGGTCAACAGGCCCGTCGAGCATCCGGCGGCAAGGTGAGCCAAGGAGTGTAACTTTTGCCGTACGTCGACGACGTACACCTCAAGCCGGTGGCGTGGTCAGAACGATGAGAAAGGAGGCGGTTTTGTAACGGTCGGTGTTTCGTTGCCACGCGGCGCGGGGGGCGTTGTTTGGGCTACAAACAGAAAGTATCAGTTTTGCACCTGGCTGGCTGGCTGGCAGGCAGCGGGATAAACGTGCATGTTGTGCTGGTGTGCCTTTTCTTTCTCTTTCTTTTGCGAGAGTCAATAACCATGTTTCGGACAACGAAGCGTAGATATTTTTGTGCCATCCATGCTGGGATAGTGGCGCTTCCTTCGCCGTGAACCCTTCAGCTTCTTCGCAAATAGCCGTATGCACATGCATACGTTATTTCGCGGAAACACATCACAGCCACAATGACGTCACCGAAAACGTTGCAGGCGCGGGAAGAAGTACGTTCGAGCCGAGATCCTCATAGCGACCAACATCATGCGGCCCAACCGCGAGGACCCCAGCAAGACCGACTTCATCTCGGTGACCCACATCAACCCCGGCGGCATCGCGGACTCGAGGATCGGGGCCAAGATAGTCAACAAGCTGTGCGCCAAGGCGCCGGTGAACCTGCTCGTCGCCCTCGAACGTTCCGCGAACTCGGCGCCCGTTCCGAGGGAGGAAGTAGCGGCGGCCAAGAAGAAGAACGTGGCAGGGTAACCATAAATTGCGGAACTCCGTGCCCCTTTCGGCCTAGAACATTCCGCGAATTCTCTGCCCGTTCCGAAGAA